GTCATCCTAGGGTTAGCTGATGGTCAATCTGTTATTCCAGTTATTTATATTTCAGTTTATATTGTTTTATGTGTTATGTAAATACCAAGGGCAGATTTGTCCTTTCATGTAACTAGCATAACCTATAAATACTAAATAGAAGTGGCGGCGGCAGAACATTCAAATTTTGTCCATCCTTTCAATTTTTGTGTTCTACTACTCTCTCTCTACTCTTTCTCCTCTCTCCTCTCTCCTCTATACCTTTTTCTCCTTTTTTCGAACCTGAAATCTATTAGGGTTCAAGACTGATAGCAGTCTTGAACATCTACTTATTTCACACAGCAGTCCAATGGATCTTTTCCCATGTGTACTAACTCATATTCTGTCCAGAGGTTAATAAACCCTGCATAGTACTCCTAGACCTTTCTCTCTCCCTGATAATATGAGAAGATATCGACCTCTATTTGGTACTGCCTAGAGGTGTTTGATTGCTGATATACCTTCTCAAGATACTTATACATCTCATAAGTTGTTCTATAACCTCGCATAGAAATGGCAATGTCAACCTCAACAGATCCAAGCATCCATGATGCAATCTTTGCATTGCCAATTTTCCACTGATTTAAAGCCTTAACATCTGAATCATCAGGTTTAGGTACAGTTCCGTCTAAATAGCCCCAAAGGCCCTTTGCCTCAACATGAAACTAGAAGTTAAACTTCCACAAGGCATAGTTCGATCCATTAAATTTTACAGGAAGGACATCTACTCTTTCCGAAGCCATTAACATAAAGAAAATTGCTGATTTCCAAGACTGATATCAGAAATCGAAGAAGAGATGATGATAGAGAGGTACCTTTCGATCAGATGTCTAGAAAAGGAAACTGTCACAGTATGCTGAACCAAGAGAAGGATAAAACCCTTCTTAAACCAAACCGATTTCAACCAGGCTGAAGAGGATCACAAGAACTCCTCTGGGCGACACTAGATCTAGAGTTTCAAGTAGATCTGATGTTTCCAAGTGCAGATCGAAGAGAAAGAATGAAGCTGATGGCACAGACTTCCAGATTTCAGATCTGTCAAGGTCTGATCAAAACAGCCTTGGGAGAGAATATTCTAGGTCACAAGAGGGTTCCCAAGTATTGTTAGGAAGACCCCTGAATGCCAAAAAATTCAAATGACAGAAAAGTAAGCTCAGTAGATCAGATTGTGACCTGCTCTCATACCATGTCAGAGTTTGGTCTAGGTCTGTAAATCCAGAAGAGAAAGAGACAGCCGCAAGTCTGTGGTATGTCCAATGTGGAGCTCAACACCCAAAGAGAGAAATTTATATTAAAAAAGTAAAAGGACCAAATTGTCCTTAGAGTACAAGAGAAGATAGTGTACAAGAAGAAAATGAAATACAAGAGGTAAATTTACAGAAATAGCCCTCTTGGCTAACTCTCTTTCTCTCTACAGTATATTGTTAGCAGTCCATCTGACTGTTCTTTCTCAGTGTTTAAAAATGTGGAGGCATGAAACAATATGCTGGTACCTTTAGATGCATGAGGCTTAAGCCTCATGGGTTTCCATTTTTTTTTAAAGATAAGTGTCAAACTAAAATCAGACGAAATGTATAGTTTTATATAGGAAGAGAATATAAATGAATAGCTGGCCTCAAATAAGAACCATAAGAATATTATGAGCTTACAGACCACTTTGTAACTATCAAACTGCTTTAAATGCAAAGTAATGCCTCTTTAAATGTTAGTCTGAAATACATATTTATAACATGCACACACTAGGCATCTCAAGATGTGAGGAATGTGCCTTATACTACAAGGCATGAGCCTAAGGTTGAGCGTTGAGGTGTTTTCCTTGAGGCTCACGTTGAGGTGAGCTCAAAGTATAAGCCCCATATTTTTTTAAATACTGTTCCTTATTACTGTTGGTCATTCTTCATGACTAGTTAAAAAGTTGCTTGATAAGCAAGGATACTTTGATTATAATCTATAAAACTTATTTGAGCACAACAATTTTAACCTTCTCTTGACTGAAAGGAAAAAGGGGGAAAAAAATAAAAACAAAGAAAGGAGTAGAAAGGAAATTTCCTTCTTTCCTCTCTCTCTCTCTCTTAATCAGCTCCCTCCCTCTTTTCTTCTACTATCTGTATCTGTAACCTGTAACCATGACAGCTACTCTATCTATCTACAGCAGGAACAAACCCCACCTGCACCGATATTTCTTCTTTCCCTATTTATTTATATAAATGGCAACTAAACAATTTCTCTTCCCCATAAAACATTTCCTACTAGTTCCCCTTCCCTCTCTCTTCCAAACATCTCTAAGCAACTCTTCTCTCACATACACATGCACACATATTTAGGCATTCGATGTTCTTTGCCCTCCTTGTCCCTTGTAGATTCTGTGGAAATTCTTGTTAATGGTTAATATTTTGTGTTTGTGTGGTAGCAACTTATTATGGTCCTAAATATTAAAGAGTTTGGCTTGACGCATACCATCAGTCTTAAGGCTTTTGGTATATTGGTCAAGCATGTAATAAATGGTATCAGAGCCTACCACCATGTCTCAAGTTCGAATCACAGAGAGGGCTACCTAGGAGAAGGGATACCTAGAGCAGTGAAAGCTATCATGGAAAGAGCTACCTGGAGCAGAGTGTGAGCCATCAAAGGAAAGGGCTACCTACTGCCAAAGTAAAAGCCCTTGTGAAGAGGGCTACTTGCCACTAGGGATGGCAATCTAACCCTCTCCCATTGGGCCCCCGCCCCAGTCGGGGCAAGTTTTTTTACCATTGACTGGGGTTAGGGGGTGTTTTGCGGAAACCTGAAACTATTCTGGCCAGGGACAGGGTGGGGACAGTATTTAGGGTGGGTTTTTTTTACCACTGACCGAGGTCGGCGCATGTTTTGGGGAAACATGAAACTATTCTGACTAGGGAATTGGGGACAGGGCAGGGACAGTATTTATCCACCCTGCCCCGAACTCGCCCCATTATACATATACATATATACTACATATATAGCATTATAATTAATATATACACATTATTTTTTGAGAATGGATATATCAAATGTTACTTGACAAAAAAATCAAGGGGTACATGTGTTTGGGGCAAGGTGGGGCGGGGCAAATCATGGAGAAAGCCAATCCAAAATGTGAATGAAACCATGCTGGCTAGCAAGGGGTGGGGCAAATTCGGGGATCCCCATTTCCCTCGGAGACGGGGATGGGGCTGGGATTTCAAGCCCCACTGGGGTATGGGGCAGGTACATGTGTTCGAGATCGGGGATAAGATATGTAAATTTGGCCCCGCCCCACCCCATTGCTTCCTACTTGCCACTAGAGTGAGATCTGCCTACAGTGAAGCCATTGAGATGTCAGCTGCGGAAGCATGGTGCTATGTTGCTGTCCTAAATGTTTTTTTTTTTTTGATAAATTGTTGCAGTCCTAAATGTTGAAGTGCCTGGCTTGATGCGTTCTATCTGTCTCAAGGCTTTTAGCATATTGGTCATGCATGCAACACAAATCTTCAAACTCTTTCCGTGGCAATTGGCTACGACACTATTTTATATTGATGCCTCAATATTAAAGTGTGTGGTTCTTTCCTTCTTCCTCCAGATACCATAATTTCATCTGAGTATGATGATATTTGCATCCTACCTGGGTGAAGATCCTGACTATTTTATATTGGTGCCTCAATTTCATTACCATGCTTTTCTAACGTAACATCTGAGTTAACATTTCCAGTGCGGACAGTTCATAAGTAAACTAGTACATCTTAGTGCAGAACAAGAAAATGTCTTAACAATTCATTAACATCATTTATATCATGATTCATGCAAAGAACAGATATATTTGACATTCATCAATGATACATTTTCCCAATAGTTTGCAGCATGTCCAATGAAAAAACCACCATTACTTATTTTTAATTATTTGTTTGACAAAAGTTGTCTGAAATTGGTGTTCAATTTGGCTCCAAGAAATGCATGAATATCTGAAGAATTCTACAGAAATTTCCACTGTTGTGGGACTGTCTACTCTAAAAATAATAGTTGGGTTTTTCTTTTTTTAATTCTTGAGCTATGAACATAATTAGATTTAATTTGTTTATGAATTGTATTTTAGATATTTATTTTCCTTCAAACTTAATACATTCTGAGTTCATTTAAAACTTCCAAGCAGATTGTTCTGTTCTAGAACTGTACATTCTTGTATGCATGAGGAGACAGGAAGTTAAAGAGCAAACATCATACAACTTCAATTCTGTAATGAAAGGTCAGAATTGAATAATTTCAATGCTTAGTAAATAGCCTTTTTATGCTTCTAGGATAAATTTCTATCATGTGTTTGCAGAATACAAAAGCATACATGATTCTTTTCAGACCTCTGATTATTATGCACATAACGTCTGCTTACGGGTAAGTAAATATGTTCAGATGAATTGATGCCTTTATGGTGGCCCGGTTTTTGCAAGATATCTTCAAAATACTTTGATTATCTTTGGCAGGCATTTGAACACCTTCTTCAACGTGAATTAATATGTTTTACGGACAACAGGGTGCATAGTCAGTCTGTTGAATTTCGTCCAGTGAAGCTACTAATCTCAGCTCAGGAGCTACATCAAGGGCTGAAGCTAAACTGTTCTTGCCCTGTAAGTTGCTTCTAGAAATTCTATTAAGTTTGTTTTTGTGTGTGGGTGGCCAACAGGCAGGTTTTAAAGATTTTAAGTGAGCTATGATCAGCAACCATATTAAAATATGAATAAGGAAACCACAATAGAGAATTTTCTTGGAGTTTATTTTGGGCTGTCTGAGATCTTTTGCATTGTTTCTGTTCTACTTTTCCACTCTTATCCTTACCATGGGAAAAGTTATCTTTTCGATTAATTATTGTAGTGATGTCATGTTATTTATGAATAATACATGGTATTTATTGCCCTTGTGAACATTGTGTTAGGTCATTCTTCAGAAATTGATGGATCGAGAAAGTTAAAACAAGTCAAGGATTGGTGATTGCATCAGCTGCTTACATCAATCTCATTGACTGCATACAGATACGGATTGGTACTAGAAAGACTATAGAAGACTCTTGGTGAATGCGCTCCATGTAAGTACTACAGGCTAAAATGTGCATTAGTAGGAGGTAAACATTGAAAGATGGTTCAAATTATTTGATACATATAATACGATACATGTCGGGTTTCAGGGTCATTGAAACACTAAATACTAGCATTTAGAAATGTGGCCATATTCAATGCGTAATTGTTAATGCCCTTCCCAGACATGGCCATGTTCCTGGAACTATTTTTATCTGTGTATCACCCTTTTATTGCGCATGGCTGTACTTTGAACCAGAGATAGAACTCTAATTCAGTTTCTTCAACCAACCCTATAGACTATGTTTGGTCTAGATAATAAGAGAAAAAGATTTTTAACAAAATTTGTGAAATTCCTTGAGACTTTCCTCTCAACTTGTATATCAAACCAAATGCAGCCTTAAGAAGTCCAGTTCCTGGCTGCACCATATTATTATTAGGTTTGGCCGCCCAGTTCCTGCGCCTATAAGAGATTTATAGAAAGTTCTCAAGAAAGAATTGTGAAATTCCTTGAGAATTTCCCCTCAACTGAGAAAAGATTTCGTGCGATGACTGTTAAATTGATGTGATGTTTTGTTTTTTCTTTCAAACAGCGTGTTCAAATTTTATTGGGTCTCCGCTCTCCGGTCGCAGGGAATGTGATCTCGTTATTTTCTATCAAACCAAGAAGTTAATCTCCTGCCCCATATTACGTTTGGCCGCCCAAAAATAACTTGCATCAATAAGTTCAACTCACAACTCACCAATGCAGTTAACATACATTATCGATAATACGTCTCAAAGAAAAAAAAAACATAAAAGGAAAAGAAAGAAACGGTAAACATGATGCAATGCATTCTGCAGAATATGCAAATGGATCATCCTCAGTTCATCACATCAAATGCCAACTCTCGGACGTAATGCTATATTCCAATTTTCCTCTTATTTTAAAGAATGGTCAAATGGTCAGGAAAAAAAAAGGATATTCCCCGTCGAGGTCATGGTTTTTAATCCATTTTAGCTGATGGTGACACGCAAACTGAATAAATGGGACACTTCATCTTGCCAGCTTGGTCTGGTCAAACATAAAGAAAGAGGAGCTAGTTTCTAAAATGAGGGCATCTCCTTTACTTGCTCCATGACTCCATTGAGAATATTTTCTTTTATGTCAACGGTATGAACAGTGAGTATTGAAGCCAATTTCGACGACTCCATCCCTTATCTTTGAGTCGATAAAATTTTCGACTGCATCCCTTCTCTTGAGGCAAGAAAATTTTTTGAAAACTATTTCAGCCTTCTCAGTCATCAAGGGTTTTTGTACTTTAATGCAGAGTCTGTCCTAAGATGGTTTTTGCCAACTTGTTAATTTACTCGGCATTGTTTCTAACTGGGGCTCACAAGCAGGTTTAGCCACCGTTCGGAATTACTTATTTTTGAAATACTTATTGGAAAAAAAGTGCTTATTTTAGGTTGGGATCACCGGAAGACATTAATAAGAACTTGTTTGTTTTTGGGAAATAATTCCACTAAACTCTTTTTAAGGTTTGAATGCGCCTGACCATGAAACAGGTCAATTCTTTATTTAAAAAAAAAGTTACTTTTTTCATACATAAGCCCTAAACCCTAAAATTAATGTGTAAAAGGCATTGATGGGATTCATTTCTAGGACCAGTTAGGATCCAATTTTTTATTTTTTATAGGGTAAATATAAAAGCCTCCCCTGAGGTTTCAGTACTTTCACAAAAACCTTCTCTGTAGATTGAAAAAACCTGCAGTTACCTCCCTTCTGTCTTTTTGTTTTAGTAATGAAGACTTCAAATTTATGAAATTATCCTTACAACTTATTAAGACATCTTTCAATATAATTCAAAATACCAGATTTGCCCTTCTAAACTTCACAAGACCTAACATTTTTATAGAGTAAAATTATTTTATTCTTTTCAATCTAGCTCAAAGATTTTTTTTTAACTAAATGTGATTTTTTGTGGGTATTTTAATAAAATTTCAATCTAAACTATTAGATATAAGGGTAAAAGGGGTACTTTTGAAAAAATAATGCATTAGGCCAATGTTTTCCATCCAGATCAAGGTAACTGCAGGTTTTTTCAATAGTAAAGGGAAGGTTTTTGTTAAAGTGAAAACTCTCCTATTATGATTGTCAAAAACCTCAAGGGAGGTTTTTACATTTTACCTTTTTTTTAAAGCCCCGTTCATTTGAAGGTAAATATCTATAGGAAAGTTGGTCAATTTCCCATTAACCAATTCTCCTATGTTCTTTTTGCATTAAGAAATGGGCCCCATAATAAAATTATCCTTATTTTTAAAATTTACCCATCTTGCAGGTGTATAAATAACTTTCCTAGCAGTGAAAAATTTTTACAAAGCAATAGTTACCTTTTATAGGTAGAAATGTCATTTAACTGGGTAAGTTCTTTGACTCTCTGGTAGAAAGAATGGTGTAGTCTTCAATGTGATTCTACTTCTATTTTTCAGGTCTATTAATTTTTCCAAATAAGGTCAAGGGTTTTGTTGAGATGCCTCATCATTCTGGATTTGTTAATTTCCATGAGAGAGAGAGAGAGAAAGAGAGAGAGAGAGAGAGAGAGAGAGAGAGAGAGAGCATCAATCAATTTAAACAGTGCAAATCTCAATAGAAGAAGAGGGAATCTGAATATGTTGAAACATCCATTAACAACTCTATTTATTTTAAATTATTTTGTTATTTGTAATGCACACGTATGTCTGAAGAAGACGAGAATATTCAAAGAAGAAATTTCCTTCCACCACAGAAAGCTGAGATAGGGAGACCGAGAGTGAGATATTGTTCGGACGTCCTAGTCCACCAAGAACTTGCATTGTGTTGGGAGACCATAACTCAGACGTTAAGGTAGCAATGGATGATGGGTCGGGTCAGCGGTAAGCCATGGACGGAATTGGGAGCAACCAGTTATGGCTTGTGGGGGGGACGGAGGACCCCTAGCTTTGCTGAGTTAATTAGAAGGCACAAGATGTTTGTAGAAAATTCATGCCGGTTGAGATTTTTTAACCAAAAACCCAATAATAAGAATCAGGTTCCGGGTTGAAAGGAACCCGGATCTGCTGCACTCCGGCCGGTTGAGATTGGGTAGCTGAACCTGAGAAGCAACTGGCCTTGTCGGTAGGCCAGGTCAAGAAGCTTCACTCTTTTTTTTTTTTTTTTTTCAAGTACTTGTAGCCCTGTAGTGTCTCCCACTGTCATGTTTCGTTACCAAAACTCAATTAATCAATAAAATAGTCGATTAAAACAAATTTTAATCTGAAATACTCTTTCCTAACACCTCTAGTTGATCGATCCCTTTCAAACCGAGAATCCACGGTCGGCAGATCATACTCGAATACTAGAAATATGATTAAAATGGAACCAGAAGAGAAAAGAAATAGAAGGCTGTATCAATGGTCAACCACCACCAATCCTTTTCAACCCGCCATTTCATCATCAATTAGCAAACCAAGCAAATTTAAGCAAATCGTGGGTGGGATTCAATAATCAATAAAATAGAGCTGTGCACTTCATCTTCTTCATTTCTCATATTTAAAGGCAGCTAGCTAAAACCCAGCTGTGTACGTATGGTCGAAATATTGAAGTTTAGCTCTGGAAGATAAGGCAAAGATCCTAGCTAGCTAGCGTTGCTTCCCCACGTAAACATACTCCCTCGCTCTGAATGTCCAAAGAGAAAGCATATGCCGACAAGGTGGCGCTCCACCAGAGCACCGGAGTTGCTGAGATAGAGAATGTGGCATACAACGCCATATTTGCCAAAAGTTTCAGTCGGAATGAACAGAAGAAGTTGGGGTGTGGGGCGTTGGCAGTATTCTTGATGATTGTGCTAAGTCTCTGCACTGTGCTTAAGCCTTACTTGGGTCCTCTACCAATTTGTAAGTCTTACCGATTTGAACCATAACTTAGCACTTTTTTTCAACGTTATATATCAACTGTTCAGTTGCTTCGTTTTGTGTTAACATCTCAAATTAATTACTTTTTTGCTTACTATCACTTGTTTTGCAGTGAAATTGCGGGTGCCAGTGGATTCTGGAGTATATATGCTCACGGTTGAGGATACAATGAGCAGTTCTTTTGAGCAAAAAAAGGAGGATTTAAGCAGATATCAGCCAATAGGTATGGTGACTAATTTAGTAGGCAATAACATGCAGAACTCAACTGAGTTGACCCAGCTCTATCTGGGCTGACTTCTAAGTCCTATCACAAAGCAAACTTGTATACACATATATCAAATTATCAACGAGTGACTCACTGAGTTAGGTGGGCAAACTTGTGTTGTTGCCTAGCTTAATTATGACAATATTGTCTTGTAAAGTTGGTTTTCTAAATTATAGATTACGTAATGACATTTTTTTTTTTTCTCTCGCTTTCTCCATAATATGAAGTTGCAGAGAAAGAAGTGATAAAAGAGACTAAGATAATGTGCAATGTGTCGGAACGAAGATCGGATTTTTGTGAGGTCGACGGAGATGTTAGAATTCAGGCGAACTCCTCCACCATCTTTGCTGTTTCATCATCTCAAACGGGTATTCCGGAACCGGCAGGAAATGACTCATGGGCTATCCGACCCTATGCTCGGAAAGGAGATAAAGCTGCGATGGGAAGCGTTAACCAGTTGTGGGTGAAATCATTTGCTGGTCATGAAGAAGCAGCCCCTCAGTGCACGCTAAATCACAGCGTTCCGGCCATAGTTTTCTCCACTGGTGGATACACTGGTAACAATTTCCATGAGTTCACCGACACACTGATTCCTCTTTTTATTACTTCTCGCCAATTCAATGGAGAAGTTCAGTTCGTCGTAACCGATTACAAAGCTTTCTGGGTGAACAAGTATCAAGTAATACTGAAACATCTCTCCAGATACGAGATCATCAACATGGACAAGGACCATCAAATCCACTGCTTTCCGCGAGTGGTAGTGGGTCTTAAGTGTCACAAGGAATTGAGCATTGATCCATCAAAATCTCCAAATGGGTACTCCATGCTGGACTTCACAGAGTTCTTGAGGAGCTCCTATTCATTGAAGAGGGGGACAGTGACCAGGATTGGTGATCGTGGGCACAAGAAGCCTAGGCTTCTGATTATATCAAGGAAGAGAACTCGATCATTTATGAACGTGGGTGAGATAGCTAAGATGGCTAGACGCTTGGGCTATAAGGTAGCTGTAGCAGAGGCCACGTCAAACTTGTCACAGTTCGCACAAGATGTAAACTCCTGCGACGTGTTGATGGGGGTTCATGGGGCTGGACTGACTAACATGATTTTTCTTCCTGCTAATGCAATACTAATTCAGATTGTTCCTTTTGGCTTAGATTGGTTGGCTACGTATGACTTTGGAAAGCCGGCTTTAGACATGAACATTAGGTACTTGGAATACAAGATTAAAGAAGAGGAGAGCTCTCTGATACAGCAATACCCATCTGACCATGCAGTGTTTAGAGACCCCCCTTCAGTTCACAAGTATGATTGGCAAGCATTTAGGGCTCTATACTTGGATAACCAAAATGTCAAGCTTGATGTACGCAGGTTTAAAGCAACACTGTTAAAAGCCATTGAGCTTTTCCATCAGTAGATCTAGTACGTTAATGGTGTTCTCTCTATATATATATGGAAAACTCAAAAATGTCTTCTCCATCAGAAGAGCTGTTTTATACACAACAGCTAGCTCATTGTTTTGTAGTTGGTGCATGCTTCTGATCTGTCTTTCGTATTTGTTGTATATAGGCCTTGGGTAGTGGCTTAATTAGCTTTAGCCCAAGATGAGTTAATTAAAGGAAGAGATTAATCTACCCAGATTTCAATGCATTAATTGATTATGATTTTATTATCCTGCCTATTTATCAAGTTGTTAGCATTGTATTAGGTGGGATTCCATTCACATGTTGAAATGAAATGAGACTTAATTTGCTAATTAAATTGTATTTGAGGCCACTGATTGGTGCAATGGTAAATTAAATCTTATTGTGACAAATGTGTGATGAGAATTTGGGTCTCAATCCAATCACTACATTATAAAAAGGGTAAAATTCAAAAACCTCCCCCGAGTTTTCTGACAATCATAAAAACTTTTCTTGTATTTTCATTTTAATAGAAACCTCCCCTGTACTTTTTAGAAACATGCAACTACCTCCCTTCCTCGGTTGAAAAGCCGATTTAATGTGCTTGTTTTTTTTTAAATGCCTATTTTGCCCTTATGTCTATCTATTTAGATATAAATTTAAATACCCTCCAAAGCACTGTTCATTTTCTTCTGAGAACTAAGAACCAAATCCGCCAGCCTTCTCTCTCTCAAGTTTGTTTCACTGTCTTTTGTTTGCCATATCCATCGCATACCCATGGCCTTAATCAATTCTAGAGTCTCCTTACGGAACCCACCATTGTAGTAAATGGAACCATTTTAGTAGAATTTTTGGAGATCAAGTTCTCTGTAATCAAGGATCTTCTGTGCTTCTGGTAAGCAATAATGAAGATCTAAATCCCCTCTGTGCTTCAAGCATCTTTTCTACTTTTCAAGCAAAATCTAAGTCCCCTCTGTGCTCTGTAATCAATGTTTTATCAAAATTTAGAACACCATAATCAAATTAACACATAGATGAAATTAAAAAATTTTGAATTACCCGTGTAATTTGAGAGTATAAGACAAACCATTAAAACCACAAGCCTTGACACCAAGCTTCAGAAACTAGCTTTGTCATTTCTCTAATAGATGGCATATTCTAACGACTACAACGTCCATTAGCATTTGTTACAGCTCTGGACCAACCTGTAAATATTCTTTCTGGCTGTTTTTACCCTTGATTTGATCAGCTCCAACTATGCTCCTTTTTTTAGTCTTATCATCAGTTCCTACATTCCAAGAGAAAATACATTTTGCTGTTAAAAACTCTCAAAACCAACCAAAGTCTAACTGTTTAGAAGATGATTCTCACCTTTGCTCGGTTAATGGGTCGAAGAAGAAGAAGTCGAAGCCCATGAGATTGGAGATGGTGTCAAATTCCGATTAGAGGTCTTGCAACGCCAAATTATGACTATGCTTCACATCAATGAAATCGGAGATGATAGCTCCTCTGCACATATTTGGTTCAGATAGAGAAACAAATATCAAAATTAAATAAACCCGGAGTGATTCCACCACACACGCCTTTCATTTATAATGCATCCGTTATACTTAATCCCTGAACCATCCATCCAATAATACTAAAACCGAACAAAATCGTAACTTTGCTTTTTCTTTTTGGTGCAAACATCTCTAATGGAGGGCAAATGAAAGGACGAAGAAGAAGAATACATAATATATGATGGAGATCATGGGTGATGAGGAGGGGCATGTTTTGAAAATTTAATCAACAAGTAAGGAAATTTTTGTCTTTTACATGAAAGAAGATTGGCGACTCTCGTCCTGAGTTCTCGAGAAAAAATAAATAGTGTTTTGAAGGACATTTTAATAAATCTACATCTAGGCATAAGGGCAAAATAGGCATTTAGAAAAAACAAGCATGTTAAATCGGCTTTTCAACTAAGAAAGGGAGGTAGTTGCATGTTTTCTAAAAAGTACATAGGAGGTTTTTATTAAAGTGAAAACAGAGGGGAGACTATTATGATTGTCAGAAAACTCAGGGGAGGTTTTTGTATTTTACCCTTAAAAAAAAGTAAATGGTTAGGTCTATATCTAATTCATCCTCCCAAGACCCCACATAATTGGGAGCAGCTAGTTTAATTTAGGTAATTCCCTTGTATATACAAGGAAAATTCTACACCTGAAATCAGAAGGTAGTTAATTAATTGTAACATAAGAAGATCTGTGATGAACCAACCGAAGGCCATAGTCATACACCATTCTTTTGTGCCTTTTCAGTTCAACCGGCCAAATCAGTTACCTAGGGTTTGGCTGCAACTTGACATATATTGGGATGATAGAAAACTTAATTTTACAATTGTTTTACCCAAGGTAGAGTCTGAAGAATCCGGGGGCCCCACATCTCTCCACATGGCATATATTTAGACGATCAGGAAAGACTGGGAAATGGGTCAATGTCGAATTGGTCGAGTTGATTTCCCTGTCCTTTGAACATGCACCATGTCCCCCGAGGCCCCGAGATGGGGCCCAAAACAATTTGGAGAAGAAAGAATTTTCCTATTTTAATGGTCAGTTTTGCAGTGGGACCCCTTATCGACTTAACGCAGGGAGGATCTAGACCCCACCATTCAGTAGGTCCCACACTATAAAGAAGGGGTGGCCTCCACACAAAAAGGTCAACATGATCATCAAATGATTCCAATTAAGCATATATACATTATTTTAAAAAAATATACAAAGATGAAAGACCAGAATCTATTAGGTGGTGGCAAAGATATTGTTAGAGAGCTTCAAAAATAATTTAAAATAGCATAATTAAGTGTTAATTAATATCTTTAGTTAATGCTTTCACTAGGTGTGATTATAATTAGACTTTTAGTTAAGACCTATTCTAATAAATTAATTAGATGGTGGCCACCAATCCTCTATCTGTCATCATATATATGAAATTAAACTGATGAGGAGAGGCATCTAAAAGCTTTTTCTAATAACTAATCCATGTAGTGACAACAAGTAGAAGACACTAAAACTCAATGATAAGAACAATAATAGTTTGGATATTTAATAATAATTAGATGGCTGCTAAAATCAGTAATCACTCTACGTCTACAAGCTCTCAAGCAACAGGATGCCCACAGCTTTTATGGCTTGGCAATCAGTTGGAGGTGATCTCAAGTTCTCAACAGGTTAATAAGTGTACCAATAATACTAGGTGGGTCTGGGGTTTAAGATGGATGCTTCCAGGTAGGGTTAGCTTTAATTTTAATGGTTCCAGTTAGGGGAGACTTGTTATTAACTCGGATCGATACTATATGCATGGTTTTTAAGTATTGCGCTTGATGTAGGGATACTTGATGGGCCTTGGGTCGTGCCATGTGGCATTGGCCAGATTAAATCCTGGCCGCATATCACCAACTGCTTCTAATCATTTCTAAGACAAAATTAGTTATAAAAGGGGGTATTCATCTCAAGGTAAGGACATATATTCAGAATCCCAAGAGAATCATTCTTGGCTATTAAGGACTAAGTTATAATCCTCCGTCTCTTGTCTGGTCCAATCCTTCTTAAACACTCGGCTAACTTGACCGTTAGAGTCTTCGCCCCTGGGATAACACCCGGGCCTCTAACATGTACTCTTCTCTTATTTACAAATCGGACATGCCAGCCTTGAATGCCAATAAAATCTCCTTGTTGCCCTCGGCCTCATATTTGGCAACAACAATTGGCGCAGTCTATGGGAATGTTTTCAAGACTTTCCCTCTAAAAAACAATCTAACTTAATCTATCAAGTTTCCAACATGGCTAATAAATAAGACAATACTCAGAACCTCGGCACGATGGACCAATTCAAGCTAGTCCTACATAGGTTGGACAACCTAGCACAACGATTGGATGATGTGGTGCGTCCAACAGGAGGTTGCCCGTAGGGTGGCTGCCCTGTCAAAAGCCAGGGGCAATATAGTGGACAATCCACCCATGCACCACCGGGCCAGCGCTCGCTTGGCTAGGGGAAGGCCAACCCCTCAACATCCAACAACATTAGTCGATAGGCCAGCAAACCCCCGTCAAAGTCCTCTTGGTTTCCCAACCGAAGAGGTAAACCCGTAGGGTCCCACGACAACCATAGGGACCACGATTGGCACCATCACCGCACAGAAAGCAACCAGGACAACAGCGGGTGCTCCAACCACCACAGTCCTCCTCCGAGGGCTGGAAACCGACACTACACCTCTCCCCCACCAGTATCTGACCTTCACGGTCTTCTCAACAATCATTGAGCTCGCAAGTCTTAGGATGTACCAGCATTCGAGCACTTTGGGAATAGGGACAACCCATACCACATGAAAGAAAACATGGACGAGGTTAAGGCCCCAATTAACCGATGTCTTGGTGATCTTCAAGTGTGGATAGGAGCCATCCAAGATCAAATCTAGTAAGTGAAGGAGGACCGAGGTGATGCCTCCACCAATTAGAACCTCTCATCTACCCAGATGAAGGCCTTCATGACTCCATCACCTCGGAGCTGCTCCCACATAATTTCAAGGCTCCCACCCTAGAGACCTACGCTGGGAGCATAGATCCAGATGACCAATAGAAAGCTTCAGAGCCCTCATGCTCCTTTATGGGTACTATGATGCCTTAATGTGCCGAGCCTTCCAAGCCACCTTCAAGGGAGCAGCACGCAGATGGTTCTCTACGCTCCACCCTCAGTCCGTCACCTCTTGGGACTAGTTTGTAGATCTCTTCCTCACTCACTTCATCAGCAGTCGATGGTGCTAGAAGAATGTCATTTCCCTAATGTCCATCAAGTAGAAATGCGTGGTAAGCCTTCAGGCATACATGGACCAATTCAACAAAGAAGAGCTCGAAGTAAGGGATCTTGACCCCTCAGTCTCTATGCATGTGGCCATCAGCAGCCTCCAGCCCGGACCCCTCAGCTGGTCCATCTCCAAGACTCCGCCTAAGAACAAGGTCATGTTCTTGAAAATTGTCCAAAAATATATCGTCGCCAAGGAGGCCAAAGCAAACAAACGCCTCTAGGAACCAGAAGTCGAGCCCAGTTGAGGGGCCCCCAACAAGAAGAAGAAGAAAAGGGATGGCCACGGCAACAACAACACCAACAAAGACAGTGAGAAAAAGTTGTCGGTCCCTTCTTTCAATAAATATACTCTACCGAACTCCACCCGAACACATATACTAATGTAGGTAAGGAAGGAGGAATACATGAAGTGGCCGGCCAAGCTGAAAATGAACCCTACAAGAGGTAATCCCAAAAAGTACTACAAGTACCACCGCGGCACCAACCACAACACC